ATTACAGGCATGCGCTACCACGCCCAGCTGATTTTTTGATTTATTGTAGAGATGCGGTCTCGCTGCCCAGGCAGGTCTTGAACCCGCGGGCTCAGGCAATCCACTCACCTCAGCCTCCCAGAGGCGTGGGATTACAGGCTGAGCCACTGAGCCCGGCAAGATTGCCATCTTTAAACAAACAAAAACAAAAACAAAACAAAGAAAAATAAAAATGGAATTATAAATACTGTCTTGTATATTGTTTTTTATACGCTAAAACTTATGTAACCATTTTTACTGTAGACATTTAGCCCCTTTCCAGTTTTGAAGTATTATGAATAATGTCTACCTATAGAATTTAAAGTTTTGATGAAATGTGTTATTTGATATTGACAGAACCCTAAATGTTCAGGAAATTTATTAGTAAATTAATAGTATTTAATATTTCAGATTTTCAAAAAATATTAGGAATATTTTACAAACTGAGTAGAGTTTTAGTTTTTAAAAAAATTCTTTTTGCAGTCTTACAATATCAGAGGTACAATATTTTTTCCTTACTAAAAGTGAAATCTTGTCATTTAGATGCCACCTGGGACAGCAAGACCTGGTTCTCGTGGTGGTCCCATTGGTACCAGTGGAGTTCTGTCTTCTCAGATCAAAGTTGCTGATCGTCCAGTAACACAACAAGGTTTGACTGGAATGAAGACTGGAATGAAAGGTACCTATTGTAAGAAGATGAGTGTCATGCGTGGGCCGATGTTTTGTAAGAAATAAACAATTATTAATAATAATAAAAAAGGAAGGTAAATATGCTTTGTACAATAAGTATTACAGTGCTTTACTACTGAATCAGAATTATGGCATATAAGAATTGTTACATAGCTGGGCTCGGTGGCTCAGCCTGTAATCCTGCACCTTGGGAGGCTGAGGTGAGTAGGATTGCCTGAACCTGCGGGTTCGCAACCCGCCTGGGCAACTTCACGAGACTACAATACATCAAAAATCAACCGGGCGTGGTAGCACGTGCCTGTAGTTCCAGCTACTTGGAATACTGAGGCGGAAGGATCGCCGGAGCCCAGCAGGTCGAGGCTGCGGTGGGCGGAAGCGGCCACTGCACTCCAGTCTGGGCGACAGAGTGAGACTCCAACTCAAAAAAAAAAAAAAAGAGTTGTTACATATAATTGTATCAAGTAATCAGAATTATAGTACATAATTCTTATTTTTGATTCATAAAGTTATTGTGAGGGTTAAATAACAGAATGCACATTTTGAACTATAAAGCTATATGCATATGTGAACTACTTTGATCCTTCTTTTTCTTTTCTTTCCTTTTTTTTTTTGAGTTTGGGTCTCACTCTGTCACCCAAGCTGGAGTGCAGTGGCACAATCACACTCACCAAAACCTCAACCTCCTGGACTTAGGTGATTCTTTCACCTTAGCCTCCTACTTAAGTAACTGGGACAACAGGCATGTGCCACCACACCTGGCTAATTTTTCATATTTTGTAGAAATGAGATCTTGCTATGTTGTCCAGGCTGGTGTTGAACTCGTGGGCTCGAGGAATCCTCCTGCCTTGGCCTCTCACAAAGTACAGGATTACAGGCACAAACCATCATACCCAGCCTGATCCTTATTTTTCTGTTTATGGATCTTTACTGTAACTTGAAGAAATTTGAAATAATCTTGAAGGAAAACTCAAGATTAATATTAGATTTCTAGTGTTACATAGAACTATTCTGAAATGCTTTTTGATCATTTTTTTTTAATAATTTTTTTTTCTTTTGAGATGTAGTTTCACTTTATCATCCAGGCTGGAGTGCGTTGTTGTGATCGCCTCACTGCAGGCTTGAAACCCTGGAATCAAGTGCTCTTCTTACCCAAGCCTCCCAAGTAGCTGGAACTACAGGTGCATGCCACCATGCTCAGCTGATGTTGCTCAGGCTGGTCTTGAATTCCTGGCCTCAAGTGATCCTCCCACCTTGGTCTCCCAAAGTGTGGGATTGCAGGTGTGAGCCACTGTACCCGGCCGCTTTTTGAAAGTTTCTATATCAAAATGACAGAATAATTAATACTCTATTACAGTGCTTAAGTAAGGAAATGAAGCTAACACATAGATTTATACTGAAATTCTTACCATACCTCTATATGTGTTTAGAAAGGCATAACAATACAGTATATGTTATGACTCAAAAATTTGATCTGTGGTATGTACAAACTGAAGTGTGGTGAACTCTTTGTTTTGTTTTGTTTTCTGTTTATCATAGGCAGTGGTCAGTAGTCTATGGTGAACTCTTTTATAAAGAGTGTTTTGTTTTATATTTGTGACATGATTTATCAGGAATGAAGATATAATTACAAAATTAATTATAAGATATCATATATACAACTTTTTATAATATAGTATGTTGTTCCTTTCAGGAGATTTAAATGTTCTTAGTTGTATTCTAATAACATTTTGATTAGTGAAAATTAAAAACCGACTGATTATTTAGGAATGTTTGCTTAATAATTATCAATAATGTGAAAAAAAGTCAAAATTCGATAGTCATTTAACTAGTCTTTAAAGAAATGTATTCAATTCACAGAAATGTTTACATTTTTCATATTATTAAAAACATTAAAAGTAGAAACACAAAAATTCTATAGTGAATTCATCAAATATTTATTACTGGATTAATTTCTCCTTCAAGCCAGAAGCAATATTATTTAAGATAGTTTCTGCCAATATACTTGAAAGTTTTGTACGAGGGAATTCTGGTTGTTGCCACTGTGAACTGCACTGTTTGCTGTGCCTTTTATTCTTATCTGCTCTGGCACCCCATTTCCCATTTTAATAAGATACTGCCTCTCCTGAGATAGGCTTGCAGTCAGTATTCCCTAGCCTTACCTCTCATACTTTGCAGGACACTCTCACCAGATTGAGACATTTTACCTAGGAATACTTTCTAAGTTCCATTGAAATGTAAGATCATGTTTCCAATAAAGTCTCTGAGACAGATTATGAAAAATCAGTCTTTTGCTTACATTGAGGAATGTCTGCACAGTCCAGTATGACAGCTAATTGTCCCATATAGATACTTAAATTTAAATCTGTTCCCAAGCACTGTCTACTTTATTGGATAGTGTTAATGTATAATATTTTTGTCACTGCAGAAAGTCCCTTTGGACCGCTCTGTTCTAGACTCCCTTAGACTCTCTTTCCATTCAGTCAAGCCTGTTCTGTAGTCTATTGTCGTAGCATCCCCATTTCTAGTTCCATCCTTGTAGTCTTAATTCAAGCTTCCTTTATATTATGGTTCTAAAATATTAGTTCTCTTTCCCATTTCAGTGATTCTTCTTGATTTCTTGGGGCATTCATAGGGATTGATAAATAACTCTGTGCTTTGGATTTGCTATTTCAATAGCATTTCGAAACCTAATACTAACTCTGAAAAAAATTTTTTTTAGGTCCCCAGAGGCAAATTTTAGACAAGTCTTACTATCTTGGGCTTCTTAGGTATGTTAAATAAGCATGTCTTTTCTATACTTAGCTATGATGCCTAAGCATCTTAGATACTTATATCTTAGATAATCTGTTGATTTCTAAAAATTATTTTGTATCCTAACAATTTCTGGTTAATTTGACTATCTTGCAAAATAAATGTAATAATACAATTTGACTGAGAGTTCTAATTTTATTTATTTGTATGTATGTGAGCTATATCTTTTATCTTAGTCTATTTGTGTTTCTACAACAAAATACTTCCAACTGGGTAATTTATAAATAATAGACATTTATTTCTCACTGTTCTGGAGGCAGGAAAGCCAAGACCAAGGTGCTACCGTGTCTGGTCAGGGCCTGTTTCTAATAGATGGTGCTATCTAGGTGTCCTCATGGTGGATGTGTGGAAGTGCAAAAAGTGTCTAGATAGTTTCCTCCAGCCATTTTATAAGGCACTAACGCCATCCATAAGGACTCTGCCCTCATGACCTGATTACCACCTAAGGGTATTACTTAATTGATTATCTCTTAACAGTGTTGCATTGAGGTTTCAGTTTCAACCTGAGTTTTGGAAGGAATGCAAGCATTCACACCATAGCATATCTACTTATTTTGATTGATTGGTTGATTGATTGAGTGATTGGTTGATTGATTTTCCGTTTAGAGACAGGGCCTTGTTCTGTTGCCCAGGCTGGAATATAGTGGCCCATTCACAGCTCATTACAACCTGGAACTCCTGGGCTCAAGTGATCTTCCCACCTTAGTCTCCTGTGTAGCTGAAACTACACCATACCTGACTTATTTTTAAATTTTTTTGTAACAGTGTGTTCTCACTATTTTGCCCTGGCTATTCTTAAACTCCTGGCTTCAAGTTCTCCTTCTACCGCAGCCTCTCAAAGTGCTGATATTATAGGCATGAGCCACTGCACCTGCCCTCCATAGCATGTTTATTTATTTATTTATTTTGAGTTGGATTCTTACTCTGGTGCCCAGGCTGGAGTACAGTGGCACGATTATGGCTACTGCAGCCTTGACCTGCTGGACTCAGGCAATCCTTATACCTCAGCCTTCCAAGTAGCTGGGATTATAGACGCTGCTACCATGCCCTGCTAATTTTTTGATTTATTGTAGAGACAGGTATGTCACCATGTTGCCCAGGCTGATCTCAAACTCTGGGCTTAGGCTGTCCTCTTGCCTTGGCCTCCCAAAGTGCTGGGATTACAAATGTGAGCCACTGTGTCTAGCCTCTGTAGCATAATTAAAGCTCACTTTTTTCATCTAAGAATAATCTTTTATGTTTTTTCAGTAATTATTCTGAAATATATTATTCATATTATTAAAATGTCACCGATTATATCTAATAAGAAAGTGTATATGCTTATTTATGATACATTAATCACAGCAGAATTTTATATAAGTATATATTTGGTCAATTGCTACAAATTGTTTCAATTCATTTGTAAGCTTTGTTATATGTCTCTGGGTGTGTATCTCCAAATTAAGAACTTTTTTCTTATTCTCTTCTTACCTTTTTCTTACCTTTTAGATGTTCTACTGTCCTACTCTGTTTTCCCATTTCAATTTCTTCTTGGGTCATAATTTTTATCTTCTTTCTCTCGTTTCTATTTCATTTAAGCCATTTTTCTATCATGCCTTAAGAACTCTGTTTTCTTTCTTAGTCCTTATTGATTATTTTATTTCTTAATTAACTGGATCCTTTTTCATCCTCAAACTCCTAGGAAATAATAAAGAAAAGTATAGGTTTACCCCATCTGTCCTCAAAACTAAGATCAGTAAGAAAGATAAGCTGTTAGTTGTTTAGTGTCTCTGATATTCAGCCACTTTTTAATCAAAAGAAGGAAAGAAAATATAACTATTCCTGATCCTTTCTCCTATTTCCTCTCTTCTCCAGAATTTGTGCTTCTTTGTCAAAGAATAGTTCTAGCTATTTGTGTAATTGTTTGGCTCTAGGGCAGTGGCTCTCGATTGGTGGTGATTTTGCCCCCAGGGAACATTTGGCAAGCTACATGCATTTCTTCTTGTCACAGCTGCAGTCGGGGAGATGCTACTGGCATTCAGACTTGATATGCTGCTAAACATCCTATGGGTGTACAAGATACCTCTACCATGAGGGACTATTTCCTGACCTAAAATGTCATTAATGACATTATTGAGAAACCGTACTCTAGAGGGTAGGATTGTACTAGTTTGACTAGATTTTCATCTTCCCTGGTAGCCTGATTTCATCTTTCTTTTTTTTTGAGTCAGGGTCTCACTTTGCCTGGGTCTTACTTTGCAGCTGGGATATACCTCATTCTTAATGAAATACGTCACCTAAACTTTTTATGTTTTTTTTAAGTGGATTTCACAAAACTATTTATATTATTGTTACACATTTATAAAAAGTTTAGTTTTGTTTACCTAGAAAGAGTTTTCTGATTAGAAGTAGAACTGACTTTCTTATTTCTTTTCAAATAGAAGTAAAATAAGTGAACTTACAACTGAAATTAATAAGCTTCAGAAAGAAATAGAAATGTACAATCAAGAGAATTCAGTCTATTTGTCATATGAAAAGAGGTATGTTTTTAGTACTCATTCAGTATTTTGTACTCGTAATACTGAATTTGTAGTTGTCCATATTTTTGCAATGTTCATCTCATTTATATATTTATGAATATATATTTATTTTATGCTTACAGGGCTGAAACTTTAGCTGTTGAAATAAAAGAGTTTCAAGGACAACTAGCAGACTACAACATGGTATTTTCTCTTTTTGGAGAGAATCTCCTTTGGATGTTTTTATTGCTTTTTACTACTTTAAATATGTTATTTTAAATACCAATTAATATATAAGTATATACTTATTTTGAAAGATGGAAACCATTAAAGATACAGAGAATCAAGTAACCCTTTCTTTCTCTTTTATATTTCCCTTACCAGAAATAACTTGACTTATCAGATTGATATGTATTCTTTCAATATTTAAAAAAAAATACATTTGTTTACAAATTCACAAACACACATGGTTTTTTCCCTTAAAATATTAAAATAACAACTTAATTTAATTTAATTTTTAAAAAAAGATATAGGGTACAATTGATTAGGTATACAAGTGGGTATTGTATAGATAAAGTTTGGGCCTCCCTTTGATCCCCACTTTGCCTGGTTTGAGATCAGGTACCCTTGTTGATGTTGTTCCCCCCACCACCCTGGCACTTTCTGGCTACTGCCAATCTCTTTCTTATAGTATTATGGTAAATGTTCAATGTCTTATGAGTGAGAACATGTGGTACTCAGTTTTTTGTTCCTGTGATAAATCACTGAGTTTTATAGACTCTAAATCCATCCAAATAATTTTTAAAAGTAGCGAAAATTTATTGCTTTAAAAATACTTTTGCCTTCCTATTGAGTGTTATCGTCATGAAAAATTTAAAATTTAATAATTTAACACACAGATTACCTTCATCGGATGCTTTATACAAAATATTGTGTATATTTGTAAAACAAGTATATAACATAAACAGTTCCAGAAAAGATGCTTCCACAGGTGGACTTTCAGAGAAAAACTATCTCAGCAGTGTTGATAACTGCTTCAATCCTTGGGGTGATATTGGCTTTGTAAAAATTTCTGTTGTCAGAATTTTTTTCTTCAAATTCCTTACATGCTTTAGGCAGCAGTGGTGCCTGGATTTAATAAAAGAGACAAAATTTTTTCTCACTACTCCTATTAAGAAAAACTGTTACGAGGAATAAGAACCATTCTATCATAATGGTTAGGTAAATTATGATGTACTTACTTGATATTGTTACATTGTACTTACCTAATAAAATTTTGCTGAAATTCCAGTATAATTTTTAAGTTTACCAGATTATACAAACAACAACAAACATTTTGTAGGGGCTAATATTCAGTGGGATTTTCTTTATTGAATGATGTTCTGGTTTTTTGTTTGTTCGTTTGTTTATTTGAGTTGGAGTCTCACTCTGTCACCCAGGATGGAGTACAGTGGCATGATTATGGCTCACTGCACCCTCGACCTCCTGGGCTCATGCAGTTCTCCCACCTCAGCCTCCCTAGTAGCTTGGACTACAGGCATGTGCCAGTGTGCACCTGTAATTTTTTGATTCTTTTATAGAGATGAGGTCTTGCTATGTTGCTCAGGCTAGTTTCAAACTCCTGTAACTCAAACAATCTTCTCGCCTTGGCCTCTCAGAGTGCTGGGATTACAGACGTGAGTCACTGCGCCCAGTGATGTTCTGTTTAAAATATGAGAAAAATAGTTTTTGTAAGGTATGAAATACATTTATATTAGATGAAAGGGATTTTTAGTTATACTGGAATATTTTAGGTAAAATACTTACATGTAAAATATGCTTTTTATAGGTTTAATGAGCTAATACCTATACAGGGCATTTAGCAAGGCATCTGACATAGTTAGCACTCAATAATAGTTTAGTCTTACTAGCACTTACTATTAATATTACAAATGAAAAATGTGACAGACATAGTGACTCATGCCTATAATCCTAGCACTTTGGGAGGTGGAGGTGAGAGGATTGCCTGAGCCTAGGTGCTCAAGACCAGCCTGGGCAACTTGGCAAGACCTCACCTCCACAATAAATAAAAAAATTAGCTAGGCATGGTGGCTTGTGCCTATAGTTCCAGCTACTTGGAAGTCTTAAGTGGAAGGATTGCCTGAGCCCAGCAGGTCAAATCTGCGATAACTGTGAATGCGCCATTACACTCCAGCCTGGGTGACAGTGAGACTCCAACTTCAAAACAAAAAAGAAGAAGAAAGAAAGAAAGAAAAAAATGTGTATACACTAATATATATTATATTATAAAGCTTAATCCACTATTTATGAAACAGTTGTTTATAAGTTTAATTCAATTTTATTGTGTTGAGTAGCTATTTAATAAGGAAATAAACATTTTTTTAAAAGCTTAATCTTTTATAATCAATTATACCCATCAATTATGCTCCATCACTTGCAAAATTTCCTTGTCTTTAAAATATGGGCAATATTATCTACTTCATAGCATAATTGTAAAAACTGAGTTAATATAACAAGCTCAGGACAGTGTTTGGCACAAGGTAAATACTCTGTTAGCTGTTGATATCATTCCCTAATTTTTTGAAGTAGCCTTACTGGTGTTCTATCTGTGCTTTGCATTGTTGAACTTTAAACAAATTTTTAAGATGGAGGCAATATTTTTGACATTTTTATTACTGTAAATTTGTAAAACTGCTAACACTACTTTTTTGTGGAAAAAAAAGGAGAGAGTGCCAGCTCTTTCTAAAACTCTTTTCTTTTCTAGACCTTTCTTTATAAGCTCAGTCAACTTTTCAGAGTAGGCAGAGCTCTACAAGGTATGGTTTACAGAAAGAGTAGTTTATTACTGCTCACTTATCCACCCCCCAAAATGTAGTTTATTTATTGGCCAAGTGTATAATATGTGCTTACTTAGATAGCTCAGTATATGTTTTTATCTTAGATGATAAGTTACTTAAAGTATGAACATTTAAATTATTTTCTTGTAATTTATTACATTATTTGTAATACCAAATACTTATTTTATTAATTACAGAGAATATGTATAAATACTAATGGAATGATGTGTGTGTATTTTTTTTGTATTTTTATTTTTAGTTGGTAGATAAACTTAATACCAATACTGAAATGGAAGAAGTAATGAATGATTACAATATGGTAAGAACATTTTATAATTACAAGCCATGTATCTGCATAAATCATATCCTCCAAAACAAAGCATTTATATCTGGAAATATGTTGATAAAATTTTAAGAACCTTGGAGAGGAGTATTACCCGAATTTTAAATGCCACTATTAGAATTGAGCTCCCTTAGTTGCTCTTTTTTAGTTTCTTCCTTTTGATTGGCTCTCTCAAGTGGATTAGTGTCTATCTACAAACCCATGTTTTGACTGGTCTCACACTTAGTATTACTTAGAGAGTGCCATCTCCATTTCCTAGCATATGCATTAGTTTACAGTATTTATGGTTTAATTTTTGTACAAGTGGAGCTGAGTGCCCAATGGAGATAAATGGTAGCTTTATATAGTTTTTGTAGTAAAGGGATTAAAATGAATAGATATGATGCCATACATATAATAATTTTTCATTGGTAAATACGAACTTGTGTTCAATGTTTTTAGATATTTGGTAGAAAACAGTAAACTATATTAATAGCTACCTTGATTATAAATATTTGGTGAAAATAGCATACAGTTTATAACTTACACAGTTTGTAGTTTATTTACATGAACAAAAGTATCCTATGAAAACATAATTTTTATAAAATGACTTATAAATTTGGGGTCCCGTGCTATGAAGATTAAGTTGATTGTTTTTGGCTTTAGAAAATAGGAGTATTCACAAATTAAAAATTGTATTTTCATGGCAGATATAAAAAGTAAAACCTTTCTTACGTGTTTCTGTTGTTTGGGATAGGTTCATATTCTAGGCCTGGATGCACAGGGAGAGTGAACTAGCAGTACTTAGATAAAATACTGAGTGATTTAGAAATAAAACTTGTCTTGGTTCTGCATTTTGCATGTTACTAAATCAAATATTTATTGAATACCTAGTAAATTCTTAAAATTCGTAAATATATGTAAATTTACAATGTATCATTTGACAGATCACTAAAGTACAATGAATATTTTTGGTGTGAGATTGTGATGCCTGGTTTAAAAAAGCTGGTTCTTTCTAGCTCATATTATTGTTGGTTAAATGAAGGAATTAATATATTTTTTATTTTAAACTTTGAATGTAGCATTAGAATTACTATAATAATCTCTCATTTAGCCAAATCTCTCATAACCAAAATAACCTTTAAAGAAAGAATTTGGTTTAATGGTTATTTATCACTAACTTTTGTGTTAACTGTTTATTCAGCTTAAAGCTCAAAATGATCGAGAAACACAGAGTATGGATATATTATTTACTGAAAGACAAGCGTAAGTACAACTTACTTAAAGCTCAGATTCACAAGTTAACTTTTTTAGGTAGTTTAACTTATGAGTAATTTGTTTTCCTGTATATTTCTTAACTGTTTTTCACTGTTATCTTTTTCATTGAAAATGTTAGTATTTACAATACAAATTTTATGTTTATGCATCCGTTATCTTCATTTACCATTAAATAGCTAAATTCTGTATATGAAAATTACTGCATAGCATATATAAATAGAGTTTCTGCTTCTAGGAGCTGAAAACCTGCGAGGGGTAAGAACATCTTTATATCTACCATTGATAATTTTAACCTGGTTTGAATTATGATATTTCAGCCCCAATATAATGAAAGATACATTATTAGTCAGTAAGCTATTTGTATTATTTCATTAGCATTGATATCTAATAGTTACATTAGTAATATACATTATATATAGATGATGTGTGTTTCTTCATATTTATTTCTGTAACGTGTCTGAAGACTAAATGCCAACTAACTTTGACTTTAGTAATAAAATAACTGTAGCAGTGGCAGTGATGCCTACAAAGATAATAAGTAGATGTGATATAGTTAGCATAATTATTCTTCATCTGCTTTTTGACCTTAATTAAATATTGTCTAAGACAGCACCTACATAGAAGATGAGCTATTCTACAAACACACATAGAAGCACATTCTGTCCCAGAAATTTATTAATATTCAACTCTTTGAGACAAGGATAATAATTAACCAAATTACCAAGATTAAGTAACACCAAAAACATTTTCATGTTACCTCTGCATAAACTAAATATTTGATGAAGAGTAGAAGGTTGAAAATATACTGATAAAATATTTGAAGGATAAATATAATTATTTTATTTATTTATTTTTTTGAGTTGGAGTCGCACTCTGTCGCCCAGACTGGAGGACAGTGGTACACTTCCAGCCACCGCAGCCTCAACCTGCTAGCTCCAGCGATCCTTTCGCCTCAGCCTTCCTAGTAGCTGGAACTACAGGCGCGCGCTACCACGCCCAGCTAATTTTTTTTTTTTTTTTTTTGAGTTGGAGTCTCACTCTGTCGCCCAGACTGGAGTGCAGTAGCCGCTCCCAGCCACCGCAGCCTCGACCTGCTGGGCTCAGGCGATCCTTCCGCTTAGCCTTCCAAGGACCTGGAACTACAGGCCCACGCTACCACGCCTGGCTAATTTTTTGATTTATTGTAGAGATGAGGTCTCGCCTGCCCAGGTGGGTCTCGAACCCGCGGGCTCAGGCAGTCCACTCACCTCAGCCTCCCAAAGGCACGGGATTACAGGCTGAGCCACCGAGCCCGGCTTAATTTTTGATTTATTGTAGAGATGAGGTCCTGCCAAGTTGCCCAGGCGGGTCTTGAACCCGTGGGCTCAGGCAGTTCACTCACCTTAGCCTCCCAAAGCACGGGATTGCAGGCTGAGCCACCGAGCCTGGCTGATAAATATAATTTAAATATAATTCCTCTTTTGATTAAAAACAATGTCTCTTCAATATATCACTTGATGCTTCTGTAAAGTGATTTCTTAAAAACTGAAAAATGTTTCTTTTTTTAAATGAAGAAAATTTTGTTCATAGTGACCAAGCTCTTACTTGAAAACTTTACTTTTTGTTTAATTAACCTAGTTTTAAACCACTTAGCAAATATTTATCATTTGCTATATATGAGATAACCTCTTAGGTGCCTAAAAGAATAAGAAATATATTGGTTACAACCCCTAAAGACTAGAGTTTAGAACATTTCAGTCTTTATTTACTTTATCATTTATCTTGAAATTTATATAATACCCAAGTCAGATTTATAAATATATTTACATATTTTATGGATACTTCATCCAAAAAACATAATTTCCATATTAAAAGCTTAAATTTTTGATGTCATAGATTTTTATGTGTATTTGCTTTATTTAAGAAACAATTCTTCAAATGTGGTAGTTTGTCCTGAAGCTATCACTGTAGAGTTTCAGAATTGTATCTATAATTGTAGTTGAGGCTGAGTGAAATGAATTCTTTTGTCCCTTTTAAGCAGAAATGTAAATTAAGAATAAAAGTTATTTTTATGAAGTTTACTCTTACATGCACTAGGAGAATAGATTTATTTCATTTGTTAACTAGATGGCCAACATCTTAATCACACAAAGATCTATCTTGACTTTATACATTCAAAGGGACCAAGAAATGCCATGCCTTGAGAAGGCTGCTGTAAAAAACTTTTGTTTTCATTCTCTTTTAGAACCACCATTTAGTGTGATATGACCATCTGACTTATTATGGAAAATCTATTTGTAATAAGTTGGTTATAATATACAGACTTTGTTTATTACTACAGTACTTAGGCACCTGGTTTTATTTCCGTTTCAGATACCTGCTTGAACTTATGATTCTCTTCTATCTCTCATGTCTACACATTTTAGTATTCGTCCAAATCAGTTGTCTTTTAAAAACATAAGTAATTATAATTTTATACCCATTTATTTTTATTTGTTTAGTCAGATATTTACTGAATACCCAATATTCAGTAGAGGCTCATGAAGATAAGAGATAGGTGTAGTCTTTGCTGATTTACAATTTTATTTCATTTTACTACATTTCTCAAATATTAATATTTGCATCTTATAATTAGGAAATGATATTTTGGCAGAATGATAGATTATTTAGAAAAGGATACCCTGTGTTTCTATAATCATGTCATTCTTATAATTGAGATTTAAAACAAAGCATAATTGACATATACTGAGAAATATTAATCATAATTTTTTCCTTTATTAAAGGCATGTTTCTGGCCATTGCTTTGCTAAGCTCTGGTCGGATTGTGTGGCTCTTTGAGCTATGGCTGCTATGCTTCCTAGCTTTAGCCCTCTCCCCTACTCTGGGGAGGTGAATCTCCTCTCTTTCTCTCTAATTTACTTTCTAAATAAACTATATTTTCCAATCTAAAAAAATAAAAAAATAAATAAAAGCATGTCTCTATAAATACAAGCAAATATGAATAAACACAAGCAAATGTGTATATTATAAATGAGTACATTCTTCGATTTCACAGGTATGTCATTTCAAACAGTTTATGTTTTCCCTCAGTAGACATTTGTGCTAAATTCACTATTTTTATAACTTTAAAAATGACTATTCTACAAATTATGACATAGGTCTACATTATTTTAGCCTCTTTTTTCTAAGAAATTATTACACACATGCACATTTTAAGAACTCTATTACAGAGAAATTTGAACATACCCAGAAATAGCATGTTAAAACATTATGTATCCATCTCCCAGTTGCCTCAGTTCATATCCAACCCTGCTCCATCTACACCTGCAGCCACTGTTCCTTTCCATGTCCATAAATATATTTCAGTGTTTAGAGATCTCTCTAAAATAAATAGGTAAATATACTTAATTTCCCCATATATGGAAGGTAAAAATTATAGATTGTTCTACAGTTTTTAATGCCACTTCTTGTATTGATACATTGTTAAATTATTGTAGACAATTGATTATAAGGAATTGGCAAATAATTCACTTTAGACTCTTCTAGTATATTCTCAAGGCCAATGTTTTCCAGTGTTCTTTGGATTGTTACTGTATTATGAATTCTTAATATGTATACCTCAAATAATATGTTCTGTTGTCAAGTGAGTTTGAAAACTTCTTTTTTTTTTTTTGAATTGGCGTCTCACTCTGTCACCCAGGCTGGAGTGCAGTGGTTCACCACAGTCTCAACCTTCCGGGCTCAGGTGATCCTTCGCCTCAGTCTTGAGTAGCTGAGACTATAGGTATGTGCCACTATACTTAGCTTATTTTTTAATTTTTTTTTTTAGTTGGAGTCTCACTCTGTCGCCCAGACTGGAGTGCAGTGGCCTCTCCCGGCCACCGTAGCCTCGACCTGCTGGACTCCAGCGATCCTTCCACCTCAGCCTTCCAAGTAGCTGGAATTACAGGCATGTGCTACCACGCCCGGCTGATTTTTTGATTTATTGTAGAGATGAGGTCTCGCTGCCCAGGCAGGTCTTGAACCTGCGGGCTCAGGCAATCCACTCACTTCAGCCTCCCAGAGGCGTGGGAGATCTCACTATGTTGCCTAGTGAACAGTCTTCGCTGGGCTCAAACAATCCTCCCACCTTGGCCTCCCAAACTGCTAGGATTACAGACATGAGCCACCACGCCTGGCTGAAAAATTCTTAATACTTTGTTCTTGAGTAATCAGAGCAGTTTAGCTTAGTTAAGTCTTAGTTAAGCCCTACTGAAAAGAATCTTGTTTCATTTGTGTTTTTTCTATAGTACTTTGACCATGTACCTTTTTCTTTTGCTGTAAATATTTGTGAATGTCTCTCTGGACATTAGAGTTCTAGAAAAACAATTTGGGAAAACATCTATCTACGGAATAGATAGAAACAGCTATCCATGGACCACCTGGAGATTCCTCAGCCTCAGCACAGACCCACTTGAACAAAAATCACTCAGAGAGAGGCAGAAATATATATTTTTAAAAACGAGATTTATAGATAATTGTGCTACCTGCTTTGGAAGCCACCATGATATTAAATTGTAATGATACTGCATTATATGACAGCTTTTCTTTATAACTGAAATCTTTAGTAACCTTTTAGCAGTTTTGCCTGAACATTGTGCTTGTGTTTTAAAATGATAAAGAAATTTATTGTGCTAATTCAGGAAGATTTTCCAACTCTATGGCTTCACTTTGTGAGCATAACATCAATCTTAGTGTATTATTTAAGCTATCTCTATTCCTCACTTTGACTTATCGCTATGTAATTCCAAAACCTTTTATTTCTTTACTGATTGGAACTTTAGAATAATTTAATACATATTACATCAAATATCTCTTAATATGAGAATCTGTTCATTTTTTATGAGTGAATAGTTTTCTTTAGGTCTTCTCCTTACTAGTCTGTACAGTCTCCTAAATATTGCTGAGACTAATAATGTTAGTATTATAGACTGACTGTATAACTATTATCTACCAAGGAGTGTAAGTTACTGTATTTGGAACAGCTTGCTCAGCACAATACAATAAAAAATGTTGTATGTTGTAAATATTAATGTCTACTAGCTATAGTTTAGTATGTCACATCAAAATCTTCATGTTTAAACTGTGAGTGAACCAATAACATTGTTTTAAAAATTAAGCATTGAAATGAATTAATTTTCTTCACATAATTCATGGGTATCTATATATTTGTCTTCAATATACCCATCATCTTCTACCACAAATGAATGCAATTGTTCAAATATTACTGTAGTTTCTTCAGAGTTTTTATCTGGTATCTGTGAAAGATAACTTGGATTTCCAGTGCAACCATCTTCATGGGTTTCTACTTCATGCTCTTCCAGGCGATGATGATTGTAACTAAGCAGAATATTGTACCATATTGGGCATTTGATAGCAATAAAAATGAGGAGTGAAGTAATCAGTACAGTGACAACAACGCCAATGAGAAAAGTCCAGCTTTTACCAAAAGGTTCATGTCCTTAAATGGAATAAGGAGAGAGAGAGAAGAGAGAGAGAGAGAGAATATGAATTTGTTAAATTGACAGAAATAAAATCATTATAATAATATGTTCTAATATGACCCAATATTGGTATTAGAAATAAACATCCATTATTATTTTCTTGGGAAAAAAGTTACTAAAACTGCACTAAATTAAAAATCTATTTCTTAGCGTGGTGAAATAATAACTTTGTTCAAAACTAGCTACCTGCCTTTGCAGGTTTTGTTATCTGTTTACCTAAGACCTTTACTGATTTATTCTCATTAAGATTCTGACTTGACTTGACTTGATTCTGAGACAAAGACTCAGAGAAGTTAAATGATTTGCACAGTACATTTGACTAATAACTAGCACACCCTAGTTTGGAAGCCTGCTATTTTGTGAACCTAGTTGAGATGAGGAATTGTTCCCTTACATTTATAGACATTTAAAGTAAATAAAGATAATGAGAACTACCTCAGTTTATTTAGTATGATATATTCAGCAGTATTAATATTCAGAACCAGTATATTACCTGAATTTCTTGTTAAGTTGTTCAAAGAGCTATTAAATGTTGAATTGCAAATGGACTGAACATAAAGATCTTCAGTTATAGGTGAAGGAAATTTTGAGTGGCATTCAGCCTTAAATGTTTTGATATTGTAGCTTTTCAGGTCGTCTGGATGTCTACACATGGTAATATTCTCATATTCTAGTAAATCAGAAAGAATAAACTAAGATTTATTATAAAGAATAGTTAACATTTTAAAATTTCTTTTTATCTAGAATTTTTTGACACATCTGTGAATTTTCAGGATGTTATAAACAATTCTTGTTGTATTCGCCTAGCAGCACAATGAGGGAATGATGAACATTTCCGTTTATTAAAATTATTTTATTTTGTGTTCGTGAATATTTTATGATTAAAATTGTGATTACAATCTATATCTCAGGCACAGCATGGTTTGCAGTTAGAATAGGACACCTGTTTTAAGCTACTCTCTAGGAGATACTTTAAAAAATGTCATATATTGACTTTGCTAACAATACATGAGGTGACATTATTATCTCACATATATAAAACATTTAAATTTTTTCCCCCTGGTATGGAAGAAGGAGAACATCTATATAACAATTATTTTTTAGTGTTTCTTCCTGTTTCCTTTAATCAGAAATAGTTTTCTTTTCTTTAAAACATGACATGGTAGCTTTTCTGTGGTAGAAGATTTGAAATTAATCACATTTTGGTTTTGATTAATTTAAATTATAATAGCTTACCTAAAGTCACATTTGATGTGTTCAGCCAGTTCTGCAAATTGAATAGACTACAGGAGCAGTTCCAGGGGTTTCCATATAAAATTATGAATTCCAGATGAAATAATTGTGGTACATCAAAATAGCTTATGAAATTGCCTTGCAGATTCAGAAGTCTTAGGTTTCTTAGAGGTACAAATATATCAGCACTCAGTTGTAATATTTTGTTTTGGCAGAGATACAACTGTTTTAGTTTATTTAAGCCTACAAATGCACCCAGTTGAATAATAGAGATGGAGTTTCTACAGATATTTAAAATTTCTAGATTGGAGAGGTTACCAAAACTGTCATTATGTAAGATACTAACATTGTTCTGAATCAAGTAGAGCTCAGTGAGTAAAAAATACCTCTGGAGAACCCTTGTGTCTTTAACGTTAAGTGTAATTTGGTTGTAACTGAGATCAAGTATAATAACATCTTTCTTGATATCTGCTGGAATCACAGAATAATTTTTTTCAGTTAAATTGCATTGGACTTCCTAAAAAAGAAGAAAATTAGAATTAATCAGGAAAAATATTGACAGAATTTCCCAAAACTTCATATTTAAGCACTTAATTGGAAGGACATCATTTTGGGAAAAAAATCTACCTAATTTTTTGCTGTTAAAGTGTAAAAATGGTAGAGCAAATATTTTTCTTCATGATTGAGATGAAATACTGGAGATTAAGGAAATTCTGACACATACAATAGAGCAAAGAGATTCCAGTTTGTTATATAGGTATCTTCTAACTGTTACTGAGTAATTATTACAGAAAGAAAAAATATTGGTATATTCCTATTTATATATGTAAAAATACATGGTAAATAATAATTCTGCTAACTTACTTAATATTCCAGCATTCAAGATTGCATTTATAATAAGGAAATTATGTAGAAAATTTAAAAAAAACAGCCAAGCTACCAACATTATACCTACGGCTATTAAATAATTAGGAAATCATACCCAATATATAGCTCTCTGAATTTAACAGCTCGATGTTTGTTGTTTTAAAAAATACTTACTTTATATCAGAAATGGAGCTATGTATTGAATTTAAAGAGCCACACAACCTAAGATACTTTCCTTAGGTAAGTATAGACTGAAAGAGTTACTGTTTTTACTGAATAATAAACTAAGAATAAATAGAACTAAGAATAGTTCTTGTTTGTTTTTGGTTTTGCAGTTAGATTGTCCTACCAATAATGATAATGCAAATAACAATAATTTTCCTCATAAATATGTGATTTTTTAAAAGAACCTTTCTACATTGTAAATTGGTTACTGTGTCTGATTTTATAGTAAAAATTTTAAATTTCTCCTTTAGTCAACTCAGTTAAAGAAAAATGAAGGCTGCTATTGTCAAATTAGAATCTGGCTCAGATCACAGATATTAAGTATAAACAACGAAATAAAGACTTAGTTTTGATAGCTCAGATTTTCTTTGTTTTCTTTTGTCACCTTTTGATATCTTGCTAAATGTACAGAAAATGTACCTTTGAAAATATTTTTACTACCTTGGTTGTAAAAACTTACTGTTTTAGAAGTCTGTCTTTCGTCTGATAATAATAACATGGAGAAGAGACAAAACAAGATTGTGATGCATATGACTTTCATCTTGCACGCCTGATAAAAAAGAGAGTATTTGCATTTCAACAGGAGACTAGAACTTTAGAGATTTTGAGGACATTATATTTTTCTTTTTGAATCTATTTTTTTCTTAAAATACATAAAATGTGAAACAATGGCATGACTGTTCACCTCCTTGCACTCTAATCTTAAAAAAAATTAGGCTGGGCTCATTGGCTCAGCCTGTAATTCCAACACTTTGGGAGGCCGAGGTGAGTGGATTGCCTGAGCCCACAGGTTCAAGACCAGCCCAGGCAACTTGGTGAGACCTCGTCTCTACAATAAATCAAAAATTAGCTGGGTGTGGTAGCACGCACGTGTAGTTCCAGCTACTTGGAAGGCTGAGGCAGAAGGATCACTGGAGCCCAATGGCTGTAAGCATGCCACTGTACTCCAGCCTGGACAATGAAGTGAGACTCCAACTCACAAACAAACAAGCAAACAAACTAAAAATTCCTGTGGAAAATGAGAGACTATATATGTACCTTTCTTGTGTAAGAAAATTTTATTTTAAATTTAAAAAAAAGCAACAACAGGATTTTCTGAGATCATATATTTTCATGAACCTTCTGGTTATAAGAGAAGTGATATCTGAATTTTAGCTAAATTTATTTTTAAATTTATTTTACATATTAGATTCAGGGGGTACAAATGTATGTTTGTTACAATATTGTTTATTGGTGGGGATGGTTGGGCTTCTAGTCTACCCATTTCCCAAATAGTGAACATTGTACCCAATATATAATTTTCAGTCCTTACCCTGCCCCTCATTCTCCCTTTTTTTTGCAGTACCCCAGTGTTGATTACTTTCAACTTTATGTACATGTGTATACGTTGTTTAGCCTCCACTTATAGGTGAAAACATGTGGTATTTGGTTTTGTTTCTGAGTGAGTTCACTTAGGATAATGGCCTCTAGCTCTATTCATATTATTGCAAAACAATAATTTCATTCTTTTTTTTTTTTTTGGAGTTGGAGTCTCACTCTGTCACCTAGGCTGAAGTGCAGTGGCACAGTCATGGCTACTGTAGCCTTCACCTGCTGGGCTCAGGCAATCCTTCTGCCTCAGCCTTCCAAGAAGCTTGAACTACAGGCGTGGGCCACCGTGACCAGCTAAGTTTTTGACTTATTGTAGAGACAAGGTCTTGCCAAGTTGCCCAAGTTAGTCTCAAATCCCTGGGCTTAGGTAATCCTCTCGCCTTGGCCTCCCAAAGTGCTGGGACTATGGGTATGAGCCATCATGCCTAGCTGATTTCATTCTTTTTTGTGGCTGTAGAGACTTAATATTTTTTAAAGTGTCTCCTAGAACTCATGAAAGAAACTTTAAAGTGGTTGAAGTGGTTGTAAATTTAGAAATTTTAATATATAAATGTATGAGAAGAAATTTCAGAATATATATTTATGTATATGTGCAATGTAAGTACAATATAATATATGCTTATACTGCTGCTTCTTAATTTTTCAACTTTAGCCATTGTATATTGGTATTATCCTTGACTTACAGCTGTGGGAGATGAAAATCTTCAGCTCTCATTTTCTTCCCCCTGTGGTAATTTTAAAAAATTTTATTATTTTTAATTTTATTATTTTTTTGAGTAGGAGTCTCATTCTGCTACCCAGGCCGGAGTGCAGTGGCATGCTCATGGCTACCACAACCTTGACCTGCTGGGTTCAGGTGATTCTTCTGTCTCAGCCTTCCAAGTAGCTGGAACTACGGGCGTGTGCCACTATGCTGGGCTCATTTTTTTGACTTATTGTAGAGTCGAGTCTCACCAAGTTGCCCAGGCTGGTCTTGAACCCCTGGACTCTAGAGCAATCTGCTTGCCTCACCCTCCCAAAGTGCTGGGATTACAGGTATGAGCCACCACGCCTGGCAAAATTTTACTGATACATAATATTTGTACATAGTTTTGGGACACATATGATCATTAAATACATTCATATAATTTGTAAAGGTTATATCAGTATTGTTGGGGTATCCATCACCTTAAATATTCATCTTACTGTTATGCTAGAAACATTCAAATAATTCTCTTCTAGATATTTTGAAATAGCACCCTAACAATAGGTCTTATTTCATTTCTTCTATCAAACTGTATATTTGTCCCATTAATCACCCTACTCATCTAATATTAGGCTTTATTCCTTCTGTCAAGCTGTATATTTGTACCCATCAATCAACTTCTCTTTATCCCCGCTCTCCCTAATAACCTTCTGGATCTCTGGTAACCACCAATCTACTCTCTGTATGAGATCCACTTTTTCAACTCCCACTTTTTTTTTTTCTTTTTTTTTTTTTTGAGTTTGAGTCTCACTCTGTCGCCCAGACTGAAGTGCAGTGGCCGCTCCTGGCCACCGCAGGCTCGACCTGCTGGGCTCCAGCGATCCTTCTGCCTCAGCCTTCCGAGTAGCTGGAACTACAGGCGCGCGCTACCACACCGGGCTTATTTTTTAAAATTTATTGTGGAGATGTGGTCTCGCCAAGTTGCCTAGGCGGGTCTTGAACCTGTGGGCTCAGGCAATCCACTCACCTCAGCCTCCCAAAGGCGCCGGATTACAGGCTGAGCCACCGAGCCTGGCTAGCTCCCACTTTTGAGTGAGAACATGCGATGTTTGTCTTTCTGTGCTTGGCTTATTTCATTTAACATAATTACCTCCAGATTCTTTCATGTTGCCTCAAGTGACAGGATTTCTTTCTTTTTTTTTTTATGGCTCAATAATCTTCCATTATGTATATAATCACATTTTTTAATCCATTCATCTATTGGTGGGCAGCTTGTTTGATTCATTATTTTGGCTACTGTGAATAGTGCAGCGATAAACATGGGAGTCAGATATCTTTTTGATATATTGATTTTTTTCTGTTGTATATGTGCTTAGTGGTAGGAATGCTGGAACATGTAGTTCTATTTTTAGGGTTTTTTACATTTTAGAGCCTCAAGACTGTTCTCCACAGTGGCTGTGCATGCATTCCCACCAACAGTGCATGAGGACTTCCCTTTCCCCACATCCTCACCAGCATCTGTTATTGCCTGTCTTTTTGGTAAAAGCCATTTTAACTCAGGTGAGATGCTATCTTGCTGTAGTTTTGATTTACATTTTTCTGTTGATTACTGATGTTGAACTTTTTTTCCTACACCTGCTTATCATTTGTATATCTTCTTTTTTTTTTTTTTTTTTTGAGTTGGAGTCTCACTCTGTCGCCCAGACTGGAGTGCAGTGGCTGCTCCTGGCCACCGCAGCCTCGACCTGCTGGGCTCCGGCGATCCTTCCGCCTCAGCCTTCCAAGTAGCCGAAACTACAGGCATGCGCTACCACACCTGGCTGATTTTTTGATTTATTGTAAAGATGAAATCTCGCTGCCCAGGCAGGTCTCGAACCCGCAGGCTCAGGCAATCCACTCACCTCAGCCTCCCAAAGGCACGGGATTACAGGCTGAGCCACCGAGCCCGGCTGTATATCTTCTTTTTAGAAATGTCTGTTCATATCTTTTGCCCATTTTAAATTGGATTATTTTTTTTTTTTTTTTGCTAGTGAGTTATTTGAATTCCTTATTCTGAGTATTAATTTCTTGTTAGATGGGTAGTTTGCACATATTTTCCTTTAACCTATGGGTTGTCTTTTCACTTTAGTTGTTTCTGTTTTGTTTTTACTACGCAGAAGCTTTTTAGCTTGATAAAATCCTATTTGCCTATTTTTGCTTTGGTTGCCTGTGCTTTTGAGGTCTTAGACACAAAAAAAATCATTGCCCAGCTTATTATTCTGGAGTAATTCCCTAATGTTTTTTTCCTAGTAGTTTTATAGTTTTGGATCTTAGATTTAAGTCTTTAATCTACTTTAATTTGATTTTTGTGCATGGTGAAGTTTCATTCTTCTGCATATAATTATTCAGTTTACTCAGCACCATTTATTGAAAAGACTGTCCTTTCCCCGTTGTATGTTCTTTGTTGAAGATAAATTGACTGTAAATGCATGAATCTGTGTCTGGGTTCTCTGTTCCATTGGTTTGTGTGTTTCTTTTTATGCCAGTACCATGCTGATTTGGTTATTATAACTTTTTAGTAAATTTTGAAGTCAGGTGATGTGATGCCTCCAGCTTTGTTACTTTCTGCTCAGGATTGTTTTGACTATTTGGAGTCTTTTGTGGTTCTGTATATATTTTGGGATTTTTTTTTTTCTATTTCTATAAAGAATGTCATTGAAATTTGGTAAGGATTGCATTGAATTAGTACATTGCCTTGGGTAGTATTGTCATTTTAATAATGTTAGTTCATCCACTCAATGAGCATGGGATATCTGTTTTTATATGTGTCTTCAATTTCTTTTTCTTTTTTCCTTTCTTTTTTTTGAGTTGAGGTCTTGCTCTGTTGCCCAGGTTGGAGTGCACAGTAGCACAATCACAGCTGACCACAGCCTTGACCCCCTGGACTCAGGTGATCCTTCCACCTCAGCCTTCCAAGTAGCTGGGACTACAGGTGTGTGCCACAACTCCCACATAATTTTTTAATTTTTTTGTAGTGACAAGGTCTCATTATATTGCCCAGGCCGGTCTTGAACTCCTGGGCTCAAGCATCCCTCCTGCCTTGGCCTCCCAAAGTGCTGGGATTACAGATACAAGTCATTATACCTGGTCTCTAAATTTCTTTCATCAGTGTTTTATAGTTTTCCTTATATAAATCTTTCATAGCTTTGGTTAATTTTATTCTGGTATTTTATATTTTTTGTGGCTATTGCAGGCAAGGTTGTTTTCTTGATTTTTTTTTCATATTTTTTGCTGTTGGCGTATATGAATTCTTGTATGTTGATTTTATATTTTGAAAGGTCACTGAATTCTTTTATGGATTCTAACAGATTTTTTTGTGGAGTCTTTAGGTATTTCTGAGTATAAGAACATGCCATCTGTGAACAAGGCTAATTTGATCTCTTTCTTTTCCATCTGGATGCCTTTTATTTCTCTCTCTCGTCTAACTGCTTTGGCCAAGACTTTCAGTATGATATTG